TGAACTTGCTGACCAAAAGGTTGGTGGTTCGAATCCAGAGAGAGGAGTGAGCTCCCGCTGTTAGGCCCAGCTCCTGCCAACTTAGCAGTTCAAAAACAAATGTGAATCCGGGGAGCAGAGTGAGCTCCCACTGTTAGTCCCAGCTTCTGCCAACCTAGAAGTTCGGAAACATGCAAATGTGACTAGATCAGTAAGTACCGCTTCTGCAGGAAGGGAATGGCACTCCATGCAGTGATGCGGGCAACATGACTTAGGAGGTGTATATAGACAACACTGGCTCTTTGCTTTAGAAATGGAGATGAGCACCACCCCCCAGAGTCAAACGCAACTAGACTTAATGTCAGGTGAAACTTTTACCTTTACTTTAATGTAAATTCTGTAGTGCCTTTTATAAGCCTTCAATGTATTTGTTTTGTACTGATCGTCCCCTTGAAGAGTTCTGCAAGCAGAAGGTGTACCACTTTATCTAGCAGAGCCTACAAAGACCATGCATCAGTATAAGACCTCATAACTCACAGTCATCTTGGTCAACTTCACTGTACCTTAAAAGGCCTCAAGCAAAATCACCCACACTCAATATTCCTTCCCTTGGGATTTCCAGATTCAGAAAACTGACCCCTAAACTGAACAATATTCATCTATTTTATCCAACAACTAACAATTTCACCCAAGACGCACAAATCTTAAGAAATCAAATACTATGTAATGTCCCTGATGGCGCACCGGGTTAAATCACTGAGGTGCTACACTTGCTGACCAAAAGGTGACCGGTTCGAATCCAGTAAGCGGGATGAGCCCCCACTGTTAGCCCCAGCTTCTGCCAACCTAGCAATTCGAAAACATGCAAATGTGAGTAGATCAAAAGGTACTGCTTCTATGGGAAGGTAACGGTGCTCCATGCAGTCATGCCAACTACATGACCTAGAAGGTGTCTATGGACAACGCCGGCTCTTCAGCTTAGAAATGGAGATGAGCACCACCCTCTGAGTCGGACACAACTAGATTTCATGTCAAGGGGAACCTTTACCTTTAATGTCCCTGTGATAGGTTCACTTTATGGTTGTCATAAGTCAGAAATGACTTGAGGACACACAATAAAATATTACTGCTTATGAATGTCCTATTTTACTTTTTAACTCTCTGGATTTTGTCCAAATCAACAGAGATCCAGACAGGTATCATCTATAATTGGCATGACTCCTTTATTTATCCACTTCCTTCTTGTTCCTTGTTGGGGGGGGAAACAGATTCAGGAGAAGGACAGCGATGACTTCTGAATGCCAATGCTAGATGCTGTCTGTCTGGGAGAAAAAGATGACCCAGACAAACTCACTATTCCACCAAGCAGCCGACTACTGTGTGTCACAGACATTCTGTTCCTGTGTTAACGCTAAACAGCATGCTGTTTATCCTATTCAGCTCCCATAGCAGCCCCAGATAGATGAAGAAATAGTATTTTGCAGCCAAGGTCACCAATGGGGAATTCACAGCCAGGCAAGACCCTGCAAGCCTCCCAGTCCCATATACCCTTTCATCGAATCCTTCATAACACATGAAGTCTGGGTCAACTTGGGCGTGTGGTGATGCATCTCCTCCTGCAGTGACCTTGGCTGAAGAGGACTCCTGCCACACATTCACAAACAGGGAGCACATTAAAGCACAGTATACTTAGACTGTGCTTTATCATTTATAAAACTCTGTCTGGATGCGTGTATGAGCTTTTGGGTCGCCTGTCACCTTATTGTGATCCCAGGAATTTCACAGGGTTTTCTTTGGCAAGGAACATGAGTGGTTTTGCCAGGTCCTTCCTTTGAATTATAGTCTACAGCATCTGGTTTTTCACTGGCATCTGTTTTTTCCCATCCAAGAACTAACCAGTGCTGAACATGGTTGTCTATCAAGATCAGACAGGATATGGTGGTTTTAGGGTATAAGGTAAAGTAAGGTAAGGGTTTTCCCCTGACATTAAGTCTAGTCGTGTCTAACTCTGGGGGTTGGTGCTCATCTCCATTTCTAAGCCAAAGAGCCAGCATTGTCCATAGACACCTCCAAGGTCTTGTGGTTGGCATGCCTGCATGGAGCAACATTACCTTCTCAGTGAAGCAGTACCTACTGATCTACTCACATTTGTCTGTTTTCGAACTACTAGATTGGCAGAAGCTGGGGCTAACAGCAGAAGCTTATCCCACTCCTTGGATTCAAACTGCCAACCTTTCTTTTGGCCAGCAAGTTCAACAGCTCAGTGGTTTAACCCACTTCACCACTGGAGGTGCAATTGCCTATTACTAGCTGCCACCTCATTTTATAACATAAACAAAATATTTTATGTATTTCTAACATATATAAAACACCTATTAGTCATTTGATAAAATATATTATATTATATATATATTATAATATATATAACACCTATAACTCATTTTTTGTGGGTGGGTTTGGAAACAAATTGCCTTTTGAAAACAAACCCCACACATATAGATGGCGCCCTCTGGGTGTACATGTATATGTACGTGTATACATACACACATGTACATCTGGAGCAGGCATAGGCAAACTTTGGCACTCCAGATGTTTTGGACTTCAACTCCCACAATTTCTAAGAGCCTAGCAGCTATTAGGAATTGTGAGAGTTGGAAATCCAAAACACCTGGAGGGCTGAAATCTGCCCATGCCTGCTTTAGGGAATATAGACTTGCTGCCTTTGAGGTGTGTGTGTGTGTGTGTGTAAAGAGAAAGAGAGAGAGAGAGAGAGAGAGACTTTAGGAAAAAGATCAGGTGCCTGTAAGGCAGTGTTTCTCAACCTTCCTAATGCCATGACCCCTTAATACATTTCCTAATGCTGTGGTGACCCCAAACATAACATTATTTTTGTTGCTATTTCATAACTGTAATTTTGCTAGTGTTATGAATCATAATATAAATATCTGATATGTAAGATGTATTTTCATTCACTGAACCAAATTTGGCACAAATGTCCAATACTCCCAAATTTGAATATTGTTGAAGTTTGGGGGATTTTGTTATTTGAGAGTTGTAGTTGCTGGAATTTATAGTTCACCTACAATCAAAGAGTATTCTGAACTCCACCAATGATGGAATTGAACCGAATTAGGCACACAGAATTCCCATAATGAACAGAAAATACTAGAAGGGTTAGGTGGGCATTGACCTTGAGTTTTGGAGTTGTAGTTATAATTATATTGATATGATAATTATATATTTTATATTATATGCACTATTAGTAATAATATTACAATATAATGGTATAGTACAATATAGTAATATACAATATTAATATTGTGCTATGGTAATAATATAATATATTGTATCTACATATTACTAGTAAGCCGCTCTGAATCCCCTTCGGGGTGAGAAGGGCGGCATATAAATGTCGTAAATCTATATAAATAAAAATGTAAGGCTCGTTTGTGGAATTAACATAATTAAGAAACCACTGGACGAACTGACACCAAATTTGGACACTATACCCCTAACAGACCACTGAGTGAACATCGCTCATAAATCTCCCCCCCCTCAAAAAAAAAACAGCAGAAAGGCCTTAAAAACCCGCAAAGTTAAATGATATAGAAAAAAGGGAAAGAAGAGGGAGGGAAGGGGAGAAAAAAAGAGAGGAAGAGGGAGAGAAAGAAGGAAAGAGAGAAGGAAGGAAAGAGGTAGAGAAGGAAGAAAGGAGAGAAAGGGGAAGGAAAAGAAAAAGGGAGGAGGAAGGAAAGAGGTAGAGAAGGAAGGAAGGAGGGGAAGGAAGGAAAGGGGGAGCAAAGTAAGGAGGGAAAGGAGAGAAAAAGGGAGAGAAGCAGAGAGGGAAGGAAAGAGAGAAGGAAGGATGGAAGCAAAAAGCAAAGGAAGAAAGGAGAGAAAGAGGGAGGGAAGGAAAAAAGGAAAGAGAGAAGTAAGCATGGAAGCAAAGAGCAAAAGAAGAACAGAGGTAGAAAAGAAAGAAAGGAGAAAAGGGGAAGGAAAAGAAAAGGGGGAGGAAGGAAAGAGGTAGAGAAGGAAGGAAGGAGCGAAGGGAAGGAAAAGGGGAAGGAAGAAAAGAGGGAGCGAAGGAAGGAGGGAAAAGAGAGAAAAAGGGAGGGAAGAGGGAGGGAAGGAAAGAGAGAAGGAAGGATGGAAGCAAAAAGCGAAGGAAGGAAGGAGATAGAAGGAGGAGGGAAGGAAAGAAGGATAGAGAGAAGGAAGGATGGAAGCAAAAAATGAAGGAAAGAAGGAAAGAGGTAGAGAAGGAAGGAGAGAATGAAAGAAGAAAAGGAAAGGATGAGGGAGCAAAGGAAGGAGGGAAAGATGGAGAGAAAAAGGGAGGGAAAGTTGGCCACAGCAACGCGTGGCGGGTACAGCTAGTAAATAAATAAATAGTTCACCTACACCCAGAGAGCACTGTGGACTTAAACAATGATGGGTCTGGACCAAACTTGGCACAAATACTCAATATGCCCAAATGTGAACACTGGTGGAACTTGGGGAAAATACACATTGACTGACCCTGAAGGAGCTGGAGGTGGTGACGGCCGACAGGGAGCTCTAGCGTGGGCTGGTCCATGAGGTCACGAAGAGTCGGAGACGACTGAACGAATGAACAACAACACACATTGACATTTGGGTATGGTAGTTGCTGGGATTTATAGTTCACCTACAATCAAAGAGCATTCTGAACCCCACCACCAATGATAGAATGGGGCCAAACCTCCCACACAGAATCCCCATGGGCAACAGAAAATACTGCCTTTTCTGATGGTACTTTGAAGACCCCTCTGACATCCCCTCGCGACCCCCACAGCCAGGGGTCCCGACCCCCAGGTTGAGAAACGCTGCTGTAAGGTAAACAGCTACCTGTGCCTTTAAGGAATAGATAGCCACCAAGCAGATGAAGTCTAAATAGGAGGAGGAGGTGAAAGCAAGAGAAAGGCAAGCTGAAGGACGGAAAGCAGGTGGGGACAAAAATCCTTCTGTTTTGGCTTGCTGCCTTCTCGCTTTCCTCTCACCTTTGGTAACCTTCTTGGCCTCGTTGTAGCGCTTCCACAGGTAGTTCTTCATATCCAATGGGGCGGAGGGCTGCTGCGGAGCCAGCGTGCAGAAGGGATTTGTCTTTAAGCTGCAAGGCGAGGAGGAGCAAGAAGCAGCAGCGGCGGCTCGACCCATGGCTGCCCGCAGCGAGAAGACCCTGGCGGTGGAAGCCATGGCGCCAAGAAGGTCCTGAAGGAGGGAAGCTCCACTCCGCTCCTTCTCCGCTCCGCTCCCGCGTCTCCTCGACTGCAGCCGGCGTCGGCTGAAGTCACTTCCTCAAGCCACGCCCCCTCCTCGCCGTCTCCTCGAGAGGATCCAAGGGGCAAGCGGAGGGGGCGGGGCCACACTTAAACCCCGCCCCCTGGTGGGTGGGGCTACTTTGAGACATCCTGACGTCGCTCTTTCTTCCCGCTGTTCATTCTTCCTCCTCCTCTCTGAAAGGGGCACGAGGAAGGGCGGGGCCAAGCGGAAGCCCCGCCCCTAAGTAGGCGGGGTCTCCCTTAAGAAGACATCCTGAGGTAACTCTAGGAGACGTCAGAGGTGGCGCCTCTCTAAGAGAATCAGTTGAAGGGGCGTGGCCACGTGGAAGCCCCTCCCCTTAGTGGGCGGAGTCACCCTTAAGGAGACATCCTGAGGTAGCTCAAGACGTCAGAAGTGAATCAGAGGGGCAGAAGGGGCGCGGCCAGTTGGAAGCCCCTCCCCTTAGTGGGCGGGGCCACCCTTAAGGAGACATCCTGAGGTAGCTGGAGACGTCAGAGGTGGATGAGAAAAAAATAAGGGGGCGTGGTCACGTGGAAGCCCCTCTCCTTTGTGGGCGGAGTCACCTTTAAGGAGACATACTGAGGTAGCTCAAGATGTCAGAAGTGGATCAGAGATGCAGAAGGGGCGTGGCCACTTGGAAGCCCCTCCCCTTAGTAGGCGGGGTCACCCTTAAGGAGACATCCTGAGGTAGCTCAAGACGTCAGAGGTGGATCAGAGGCGCAGAAGGGGCGCGGCTAGTTGGAAGCCCCTCCCCTTAGAGGGCGGGGCCACCCTTAAGGAGACATCCTGAGGTAGCTGGAGACGTCAGAGGTGGATCAGAAAGAAAGAAGGGGGCGTGGTCACGTGGAAGCCCTTCCCTTTACTGGGCGGGATCACCCTTAAGTAGACAATGACATCCTGAGGTAGCTCAAGGAGACGTCAGAAGTGGCTCAGAGGGGCAGCAGGGGGCGTGGTCAGTTAGAAGCCCCTCCCCTTAGTGGGCGGGGTCACCCTTAAGGAGACATCCACAGGTAGCTCCAGACGTCAGAAGTGGATCAGAGGGGCAGCAGGGGGCGTGGTCACGCGGAAACCCCTCCCCTTAGTGGGCGGGGTCTCCCTTAAAGTGACATCCTGACGTAACACGAGACGTCAGAAGTGGCATCTTTCCCTACTCTTATCTCTGCTCCTGCTTCCTCTGTGTAGTGTCTCAAATACACACACATGCACTTTTAAATAGCTAATACTAGCTGTAATTATATGAAAGCTAAGTAAATGCATTTATTTTGAAGAATACTTATGTTTATAATCTATATAAATAAAAATGTAATGTTCGTTTGTGGGATTAACATAACTCAAAAACCACTGGACGAATTGACACCAAATTTGGACACCACACACCTCTCAGGCCAACGCGTGACCATCACTCATAAAAACACTGAAAAACACAGCAGAAGAGACTTAAAAAGCCAAAAACCAAAAATGCATGACAACCCATGCGCAAAACCACATATATACACAAACACACATATATACACAGATATATATATACACACAAAACAGACTGGGCCACAGCAACGCGTGGCAGGGGACGGCTTGTCTATATAAATAAAAATGTAATGTTCCCTTGTGGGATTAACATAACACAAAAACCACTGGATGAATTGGCACCAAATTTGGACACGATACACCTATCAGACCAACAAGTGACCATCACTCATAAAAACATGGGAAAACACTGTAGAAGAATAAAAAATACATTACAACGCATACACATAACCATATATATACACAAATATATACACACACATGCACATAGACACAAAACACATATACACAGACTGGGCCACAGCAAAACATGGCAGGGGATGGCTAGTCTATATAAATAAAAATGTAATGTTCGTTTGTGGCATTAACATAACTCAAAAACCACTGGACGAATTGGCACCAAATTTGGACACCACACCCCTCTCAGGCCAATGCGTGACCATCACTCATGAAAACACTGAAAAGCACAGCAGAAGAGACTTAAAAAGCCAAAAACCAAAAATGCATTACAACCCATGCGCAAAACCACATATATACACAAACACACATATATACACACATATACATATATATATACACACACAAAACACATATACACAGACTGGGCCACAGCAACACATGGAAGGGGACGGCTAGTTATATATAAAAATGTAATGTTCGTTTGTGGGATTAACAACTCAAAAACCACTGGACGAATTGACACCAAATTTGCACACAATACACTTATCAGGCCAATGAGTGACCATCACTCATAAAAACACTGAAAACACAGCAGAAGATATTTAAAAAGTCAAAAAAGGCTTTCCTTTTCTTGTCAATTAGCTGTTGGATCTCGATGTCATTTTCATCAAACCAGTCTTGATGTTT